CTTAAAGAATTTCTGGATGCACGATCAGAACTGATGCACAAACGTAAGTGGTATCAAATATAAGTGTATCAAATGATGTCAAACGTATGTTGTATCAAGCGTAAGTGAAACCAAATGTAACTTCTATTAAGCGTAGTCGAAATCAAATGTAAGCACAAGCGATATAAATGTAAGTTGTATCAGGCGTAAGTGATAACAGGTATAAGAATAACAGTGTCAAGTGTAAGTGATCAGCGAAAGTGATCAAGTGAAAATGGTTACGCGAAAGTGATCAAGTGAAAATAGTCACGAAAATTGTCACGCGAAAATAGTTAAACAAACGCGATAAAACGAAAATTGCAAAGCAAAATTTAGAATTTTTTTATATTCCCTTTTTTTTATTTTGATAAAATTAATTTATTAAACTTTTTTATTACATCATATATAATAAAGGTTACATCATAGCGCTATAGTACTACAATGCTATAGCGCTACGATGCTATAGCGCTACAATGCTATAGCGCTATAACAATATTCCCTTTTATAAATTTTAAATAATTCTGCAAAAATGTCTTCAACTGTTGTATTATATGATTCAAGTTTTCCAATTGCATCTACTATATATCTAAGAATTGTTATTAATTGCTCATTTTCTAAAAAATGACATCAGCTTGTAACTATTTCTTTAATGTTAACTGGGATAACAGGACATTCATTAGAAAATTTGTTATTATATTCGAGACAAGCTTTAAAGCCTTCTTCATAATTTTGAACTAAAAGACAAACTTTTAAAAAAGAAAACCATTGAGTTTCACAGAATGTTTGTAAATTATGTATAATATTATTATCTGTAGCCCATTGTTTTAATTTTGCATTCCAATAAGTTGAACCTTTAAAAAAATTTACTAACATTAAATTTTTTTTAATTAAATTTTTATATGGCTGATATGATAAAATTCCTTTTGCAATAAAATTAAAAACATGTAAACAACATCGAATACCAACTATATGCTGATATTTTTCTGAAACATTTTTTCGAAGTCGTATTATAATTGAAGGACTATCCATAACTAATGCAATAATTTTGTTAAAATTTAAGTTCATATTTTTCAATGAACTTTCAATAGCTATTAACAAATTATTTGTTATATGTCGGATAATAGAAAAGTCTTCAATATTGATAACTTCATTAATATTCTCAAATTTGTTTAAAAGAAATGCATATATAGAATTTCCTGATATATCAGTCCATCTATCAAGAGAAAGAGTCAAATCATTAACTTCTTCAAGACGATCAATCAGTTTAGATAATACTTTTGCATATTCTGCTTGTATTATTCTATATATTAATATATATCTTGATGGTAAATTGTAATTCGAATATAATTTATTTAAAAATAAAGCAAAAAAAGGATTTTCAACAAATTGAAATGCAATATTACTATAGATTAATGATCGTAATAATAATGTGTGAAGCTCATCAATTTTATCTGATGGAATCATAGTCTTATTAAAAAAGTCTGTTAAAACAGCTTTACGTTTTTTTGAAGATATATCAAGATCTTCATTTGGGTAAGATTTAATTATGTTTGCAGAATTTTTTTTATTAATATTCTGCATATAAAGTATTTTATCTTTAGCTAATATTTTTTGACAGATATTTATTATATGATGTATCATTGCTTCTTTCCGTGCTTCAAATATCTTATTACAATATAAGCACTTTGCATTATATTGGCGTGATTTGGTATTTTTAACTTGCTTTAAACATAAAAAACCCGTCCAGTGAACACCAAAATTTTTAGGTGGAGTTATAAATTCATCAGTTTCTGAATTATTTTGTATACTCATAGTACTTAACGAAGTTGCATTATCATTAGAATCTTCAACTTCATCAAAAGCATCAACTGAAGTTATAAAATCATCATCAGAATTCATAATATCAGGTTATTTTAAAAATTAATTTTTCTTAATTGTTTATACTTAAAAAATATCAATTTAACAACA